CACATTGTACTGTGTATGGTTGTGTGTGTGACCAATAAAATTTGAATTTGCAGTTGACATTGGTATATTATTACTACCTTTTTGCCAATCTTTTAGATTGTACTGAATCTATACTCCTATTTAGTTACTAAACATCTGATTTCTGAAATATCTTCAGCTGCAATACACATTGTTTAACACCTGGACCACACAGGACCTGTAGTAACTCTACCTTCTACATTGTCCATTCTTGTAGGTGATAACACAGAACAACAAGCCAGTTGGTATCAGTGATGATTGAAAACTAGAACTCCTTAAATGACATGCTGCCTCAGCTCTCTCATTAGTCATGGCAACCTCTTTTTTTTTCACCTCAGGAACAATATCCTCCTCAGCAACATCGCATCAGCAGCTGCCTAAAATACATCAATGCAAGTCATGGATGCAGGGGCCTAATCCAAACACATGAGTGGGATCCATGGTGATTGGGCAGACGTGTAATGAAGCTGATCCTATTCGCCCTCATTTCTGAAAGGCTTCTTCTGCTGCATAATTGATTGCAAAAAGGTGTGAGAAACAGAGTGGCAAGGTGGCAGGCGCTGCTAACTCTTCAGAGACAGTTCCATTAGAAGGACAAATTTGCTGCACATGTGAGCCATGTGATGAATCCAATTGATTTAATTAGGAGGCAAAGTGACTGGACCAACTGTCGAGAAGGAGAAATCTACCTTTGGTGAGAGAAAAAAAAGGAAAACACCATTGTTTTTGCTCAGGGTGCGTGGTGGCAAAGGGTTTTACATAATTATTCTATATGTATGATCAAAACGTTTCAAAAAAATGAAATATATCATGTTAAGAATTAAAGTTGTTCAAAATTAGAGTTATTGGATCTCAAATCCCACTGCTTCACACACTCTACCCTGCCTCACAATGAGCCTGAGCCTCCATTTTACAATCTTGATAAATCCATTTGCTTTTTATCATTAGCAGTGTGTTGGAGTTAATCTCCTCCAGCGGGAGTTTTTGCTAATCCGGTCATTTGAGGGCAAATGCCTACAGCAATGCTGACCAAAAGAGTTATTCCTGATGGCCCACAGTTGGCAGTGATAAGTTGATTACCCAGAGCTCCTCTCACACCAAAGAGGACTCTTCTGCTCCTCTCTCTCTAGGCCCTGTGTGCAGAAGATATACAAGGACATCTGTGTCAGCCCCTTGGGGCCTAGGGAGAGGTTTGTCAGCCTGTGTGGATGATAACACAGCAGCCACCGTCACACTTCTTCCAAAGAGGTTTTCTGTTGAGAAACCAGATCACATGAGAGGGTTTGTTATGTGGCTGTCAGTGTAGCATGTCAATGCTGCATTTCCCCAACTTTGTCATGAAGCTAGGATGCATTTTATAGCCTATGATCTCACACCAAGCTTTCTGTAACTGCAGCTTTCGGCTTCCCAGAAGGAAAATTCAGATGGTTTGAAGGGACAGGTCTTATATGTCATGTTTGAAATATTTCAGAGTGAATGAATTCAGAGTAGCCATCCTCATTCAAATACTGCTAGTCCTTTCTCTCCTTGGCCAAAACATGGACTTTCAGATTTGAAATGCAATTCTTGTCGCTGTATAATGAGGAATCTCTCGTAATCTTTACCCTTCAGGCTGTTCGGACACTGATGGTCTTTCGCTTGTGATTCTATCATTAAAAATGAATTTTACATTCCCTGCTATTACATGTGTGAAAGTTTTCATCCTGTCTCAGTATAAAAAGAAACATATTCATCTATCAGTAATGCTTTACATTAATAATAATATTGACTTCATTAGTCAGCATTACCAAACCATGCACTTAATCATTAATAGACTGATCTGACTATGGCACCTTGCCAGGCTGCTAATATTGCACCATTTCATTTGTAGTATTTTACCCTGATGCCCTTGCACATTCATCCATATGTCCTTGCCCTTGCACAAAATCAATTTGCACAAAATATATTTGCACACTATTTTCGTAATAGTATTGTAGCCCTTTCGATATGTAGACATTCTTTTTTAAATGTACTCAACCTAGCTTGATGGGGGACTACACACTGAATCTGGTCGTACTTGTAAAATAACAGTAAACATACACATATTTGTATGTGTCATATAATTCATGTAATGTTAACAAAATACACCTGCATTAACTAATGTTTGTTTAATCCATGGCTAAAAAGAACAAAAATGTAATGACCGCATGTTCCAGAATGCTGATAACTTCCTGAACTCTGATCTCCAGGTATAAATATTGGAATTTGCTTCAGCCTCAATTCTTAATTTTGACAGTTAAAAACCACAAACATTAATTATGGTGTTGTTCATATTGATAATTGTGAGCTGAATTTTACTAAGCGATGGTATGGATGTTGGTTAATACATACATCCATCCATACATGCATTTTCTGTACCACTTATCCTACAGAGGGTCACGGGGAGCCTGGAGCCTATCCCAGGGGTCTCGGGGCACAAGGCAGGGGACACCCTGGATGGGGTGCCAACCCATTGTAGGGCACAGTCGCACACACACACTCACACACCCGTTCACACACTACGGAAAATTTGGAAATGCCAATCAGCCTACAACGCACGTCTTTGGACTAGGGGAGGAAACCGGAGTACCTGGAGGAAACCCCCAAAGCACAGGGAGAACATGCAAACTCCGCACACACAGGGCAGAGGTAAGAATCAAATCCCCACCCTGTAGGTGTGAGTCAAAAGTGCTAACCACTAAGCCACCGTGCCCCTGGTTAATACATACATTTGGCTTATATGGTTTATTATTTTTTAAAATCAATTATTACAAGGGTTAATTAATGTTACTTACTGCATGTTAATGCTGAAGTAGGTACATGGTTTGTTCCTTAATGTAAAGTGTTAGTATCTTCTGTCTTACTGAGAATTCCTAGATGTTATAAATGAAATATGGACATATCCTGCAACCAGCCAGTAATACAAAACATAAGTCAAAATTCAAATGGTTTTTCCTGGGCTTCCCAAATGGCAAAATAGAAAACCATTTGCCATGGTGCTGGGAAATTGGGAGAAAGGGCAGATAGCACTATCCTCCATGTGTGTTACACTGCCCTGTGAAGCAACAGAAGCAGCAGTTCTAAGAGATGCGGTTGGCTAGCTTCACATGTCTCAGAGGAAGCATGGGTTAGCTTTCAACCTCCCTGGTTGGTAGCTGTCATATGATATGGGTGGGAATTGGCAGGTGACCAAACTGGGGAGAAAATGAGGGGAAAATAAACAAAAAAAAAAAAAGATGTTTGTCCCTCTGTCACCAGACTATGTTAAGTTGAAAGGGAAAAGATCTGGCAACCTTAGAACAGTACAGTTACATCAGGAAGGCTTAGGAGCAAAATACACAGATCCTCTGAACTTCTTTTGGAAGTTCTCTCAAATAATGGAGAAAACCCAAAAGCAGATCAGAGGCTACATAAGATGGTACAGGTGGTCAATTAGCAAAAGTTATAGAAACTGTACGAAACATTTAAAAGGGGAGATGCAAACATTGTTTTCTACTATTCATATTTTAACATACACTATTTGAACATTTTGTTACTTGTAATAATGTCTTAATAATGCTATAAAATGCTTTAAGGTTTGGTCCTAAAGGTATGCACACGTTTGCACTCAACTGTACATACTTCGATGTTAGAATAAAAGCTGCACAATTTGCAAAATTTGGCCAAACATTTGAGATAACGAAGGATGACACTGACACATCTGGGTCATGAGTCATGGGTCTGAGGAGCTTCACCTTTTAATGCAGTCAGGTAAAACATAAATTGCTCCTGTGTAATGCAAAATTGACATAGTTTTTCAATCATAATCAAATTAAGACACTTTTCTTATCATAAAGCAAATACCATTCTATTTGTTTCCAACAACCGCATTGATTTATGCCTCATCATATACTGGTGTGAACATGCTGTGTGTATAAATGTGGTGGCAAGGCATCAAAAATGAAATTAATGTAAGGAACGGTCATGATATTCAAGGCAAGACCATTTTAATGTTACATGCTTTTATTATTTATACGCTGCATATTGTATCATGGTTGATTTTAAACATTAATCTGGCCAGCATTAAATGAATTATAGTGGAGGCATGACCCCATTTTTTAGCTGATTCTAGTTTAAATTCATTAGTGACATTAGGTTTTTAAGAATGTATTCATGTAATGTCTTCACATTGTTGTTTACAATAACTGTAATACAATGGCATATTTGTATTAGACAGAATATTAGATAAAAGTAAAATATTCATTTGTTTGTGCTTTTCTACACATGCTGTCATCATACTGATATGCATGCACATCACTCAGACAGCTGTTTTAGCCTTTTGACATTTGACTTCTGATCAGTTTCTATAATTTGCACATGATTGGCGGAATTTGTAATAGGATTTTCACCACCATTCCATCATTTAAATCACAATATGTACTTTGGTCCTATGTAGACCTTCTGTAAGGAGATGTTTATTTAATGTTTATGAAAGAAGACTTCAGTCTGTGTTAGCATTTTGAAGTAAAGCTGTTAAGTATTCTGCCATGGAGAAAGTCTTCAGGGCACAGGACTTTGTGCTTTGTGGTTTCAAAGCTTTGTGACATACAATTATTTTTGTCATTGACTTGAAAAGAGAGAGAAAAAAAGAGAGGCTGTTGAGGGAATGACTGTTTATAGCTACTATAATGTAAGTGGTAACAGGAACACACTTGTTTTTCAGCTGTTCCACTACATTAAATGTCAGTATAATAACTGAATAAAAAGTATGATGTGTCATTCGTTAATAAATCCATCCATTTTGTGTATCACTTATCCTACACAGGGTTGTAGGGGTGCCAACCCATCGCAGGCACAATCACACACACACACTGGAAATGCCAATCAGCCCATAAAGCATGTCTTTGGACTGGAGGAGGAGGAAACCAGAGTACCTGGAGCAAACCCCCGAAGCACTGGGGGAATACACAACATCCACGCACAAAGGGCGGAGGCAGGATTCGAACCCCCGACCCCGGAGGTGTGAGCCAAACATGCTTACCACTAAGCCACCATGCCCCCCTCGTTAATAAATATAAAATTGTAAACATTAGCAAATTACTGGGATATAAGAGAAATAAAATACATCATTAGTGGAAACACTCCCAGGTATTAAAGGCCCTCCTTATACATCTCCCCACTGTTGATTATTTTTCCTATAACCTCACGCCCCATCATTCCTTACTTAATGCATTTGGTCCTGTCACATACAAACCAATTAACACACATGATCGAGTTTAAAAATAGTCGGGGGATGAACACTGAAATCAAATGAAGCTATATACTGCACACATCCCAGGCTTTCTGTAGCTGGTGGATGCTTTTAGTTGTAATTGTTAAGTTGTAATTGTTTTCCTTGTGTTACTGGAAACCTAATTATATTAATGGTCATTTCTTTTATGCAAGCCTATCTGTATCTGCAGTATTATTACTGATCAAAACTCTATATATACAGCATTTAACCGCATCGCACAAAATAAATCATAAATTAGTCTAGGTATTTATAATGAATTCTAATATCAGTGTGTACTGATCAAATTCCCTGCATTGGGAATTTTAACCAACAAACCCTGAATAAGAAGAGTGATCCTCGATTGACTACTGTTTTGAGGATTTAGGAACACAAGGTCCTGGCAGGGCACTTACGAATAGATTAAAATCATATATTAGCCATGGTAGCTCATTATTAAGAGCACATTTACTCCTGATCTTTGAACTGCACTCGAGAAGAACCAGCAATGAAAGCTTCTTTTCTCCACAAACTGCACTGAAGCAGAGAGGAGGAGGAGCAGAGGTTATTTTATCATCAGTAGCTACAGTCTTCGCTGTAATGCAATGCAATTAAAAACACAAAAGACACAGGAGTAGTCCTTGATTTGCTCTGGTACAGGCAGTGGTTGGGCTTGAGGTAGATGTTGAGGGGGGAAAAAAAAATCAGAAATAAGATTTCTAAGATTATTGGTGGGTGGAGGGAGGGAGGGGGGGGGTGTTATTTTGTGAATGCAGTGAATAAAATGATCTGATGCAAAATCAAAAGCAGCAGAATAAACTACCATTGCTGCCAAGCCTCTCCAGATCCTAACTTTAATCGTTCATAACTTTTTATACGAGTTTGCTAGGAATGAGAGCGCGTGAGACCATGGTGCCCCAGTGGCTTCTTTCCTCAGCACCATGGACAGCGCATGAAAACACATTCAAACACATTCAAATCACGCATTCACACAGTCTTTTAGATTAAAAAACGCATCTCAGAGTCATTACAGCACGCAGCTGTGGATGCTTTTGACGCATCACTGTCGCCTTTAACATCATCCTCTTTTTGCTATGGTGATTATTTATTTATGGCATATTGTTTGTCCAAAAGCGCACCAGTATGGTCCATCTGAACCTGCGCTCCATGGTGGTCAATAAAAGGGGCTTCTTGTTACTGCAGCTACACACACACACACACACACACACACACACAGAGAGAGAGAGAGAGAGACATGATCTGCACAACGCAAGCCACTGATGCAGCTTATACCCCAGGCTGTAATTAACCTGGATAGGTGTGTTCTCTGAGCATTGTGCTGAAAGCACGTCTTCGTGTTTCCTCGAGGTCGCCATAACGCCGGCTTTTGTGTCGTATTTGTGTGTCATTGATCGGCGGTTCGAGCTTTGCGCGATCCTGTTCATCCGCCTTGCAGTGTGTGAGGCTGCTGTAGACGCACAGAGACGCACAGAGAAGCTCGTCTTCTCCTTTTCTTCTCTTCTTCGTCATTTAATCCACTTCAACCTGAGTGCGTCCGGAGGAGCCCTAGATCCGCAGTAGATCCGCCATCATCTTTACGGAATAAGTCTCCTCATTTGCTCAGTTCCTCTCTCTCTCTCTCTCTCTTTCACGTGCAGACACGGTTATTTCGTTCAGCTTCTCTATGAAGCTATTGCGCGCACTGCAAGCGCGCACTGCTCTTCATTCGTCTGGACGCTTTGGTTGGTTGTGCATGTGATTCCTCTATTTTTTATACTCGGGACTGTTCGTTTTGTTTTTGTTTTTTTTTAAAAAAAAAAAAAGAGAAGATGGCACGATTGAGTGCGGTTCCTCTTTTCTTCTGGCTTTTGGGCAGATCTCTTGCTGGATTTCCAAACCAGATAAACATAGGTGAGTCCCATAGCTTTGGTTAGATCGTGCGTTGAGCTCTATATCTCATCGACCGGTTTCTTTCCCACCTAAAAACCATTTCTTAGAGGGAATGCATGGTCTGTATAGCCCCTTTTTAATAGATCTTTGTGCGATGCACTTATGAAACTGACCTAAATGTTGCACAACTGATGAAACTCTTGAAAATTGGTCTTTATCTTGGAATAATATCTAAATGCCTTTTAATTATGTGGTAAAGGAAACCAGTCTATACTTATGTCAGATTAAATTTGGGTTTAAATGCTAATAAAGAAATGGCAACAGCACAGAGCACAAATTCTCAGTGATAAATAAACACTCTATGTTGTAATTCAACACTTAGATTACTGAATTTAGTGCCTGCATAGTAACATTTATACAAGTCCAGCTGAATAGAAATAGGCATTTGCAGAATGGTAAATTCTGAATAAAAGTCTTTGACAGGGCATATGAAAGCTAACATTTTAAATGCTGATCTACTGATGCAAAGCCTTTTCACATGCATTAAATGCAGCACTACTGTAGGCAGCTTTAAAGTGTCCATATTTCATGTCACTACCATGTTTTGGTAATGTATTATAGGTATTGCATTGATGTTTACATTTCCGCACCATTCTTTAAGGTGGGCTCTTCATGCGCTCAACGGTGCAAGAACACAGCGCTTTCAGATTTGCTGTGCAGCTCTACAACACCAACCAGAACATGAGCGAGAAGCCCTTCCATCTGAATTACAACGTGGATAACCTGGAGTCCTCCAACAGCTTCTCTGTCACTCATGCCTGTAAGTACTCTGCAGTTTCACAAGGCACAAACAGCAAGGAAATTCTGGTACAAACCACAGAAGTACAACTTGATCCCATACAACCTTTATAGCTTGTCAGCTCATAGGAGTAATCTTGTAAACAACTCCATTTTCTTACAAATGAGGTCATATGACATGCTACAACTGCTAACTATCTGTAAATCGCCATACAGGTTATGTCACTTAATCACTGCCATCTATAATAATAAATGACCATAATTTTGATTGGTAACTTATAAATATCTCACTTGACTTTACTCATGAACAGAATGAAATTGCAACCTGTCAACAGAACAGTGTTCATTTCTATCTGACTGTACCTATATGAACACCTTATACATATTATTCCACCCTGTTTGGTTATGTTTTCATTCACTGTTATATTATAGGCAGGCTGAACTGATTTCACATTAGAAAAAGAACAAGAACTGTCCATCAGTGTAAATTTCTTCTGAGGAGCTCTTTTTTCATAAGTAACTGTCCATCTTGAGCAGTAATTACCCTATCAGACGCTTATTTCCAACTTTTCAGCTTAATACGCTCACCTAACCCACTGAACACCTGTGAGGAGAACGCTATTTTGCAACTCAGAGTTGCCTTAGTGTGTAATCCCATAAGCCTTGTATAAGCAATCCAATTTCTGGTTGTTGGTAGATTAATGCAAAGCCTACTCACATTCCTATATGCAATTTTTTTGCCTCACAACAGATTTTAGTCTGATATTTATTGGTATGGGAGATTCTTTATTTTGAAGCCAGATATTTGCAGTTAACACTGACCTCCTCTTTCACTTTCATTTGCTTTATCAGTACATACAGTACAAAGGTATAATAATTGAGTTAACTAATATTTCCGTTTTCTTCCACCTCAAAGATTTTTCTCTTTTATTATATGTGTAATACATGACCAGATTTATCATTCTCTTCTGATGGTATGGTGATGATATCCCTTTATAACAGTGCTTTTCATTTTCCATGCTTGTCCACTCCGATTTGCAAGTGAAAGTATTTTGCAGTAAGAGGATGAATAGTCGTCTGTGGAAGTGTTTTGTGGGCACAGCATTGGTATTTCTGACACAAAATCTCTTTGAATTCAAAACAAGTTCCCTTGGCAACACGGAATAACTGAATCAGTGCCGCGGTTCCTGATAGTTGCTGAAAAGATTACATGTCTGATTATGCAAGCGAGGTTTACAAGGACTGTTTAGGAGATAATATCAAAATAATTCTCTCGTTTTTAAAAAATGTCTCTAGTAAAGTAGGATGAAGGATAATCAGTTCCACCATGCAAAACACATTCGATATGCAGTCAAAAATTATTGTATTTTAGTGCTCTTGTTAAATTATTATTACATAAGGGTTAAAACACAATAAGGTGTGCTGTTATTTGGAAAATAATCCACAATGGGGTGATGTGATGCTATATGGAACATTCATTAGGGTTATCACTTATGTTATAGCAGCTATAAAATATAATTCCCCCACTAGCCTCTATTTTATTCTTTTATTCTTTTATTTATCTCTTGAAGTTATTAAGACAAAAAACACAGCTTGTGATGTTACCAAAAAAAAAGGAAAGCACAAACTCCTCTGTCCAGAAAGCTTCATCATATCAAGGAGCATACAATTTCTTTGTTAAATAACAACACATTTTTAAAAATCTGTTTATTATTAGCCTTAGATTATATGGAGCATCCGCCATACAAGTCCGTGTGAATAAGGTGTTGCTACAGAAATGATAATGCCTTATAACGTGCAGGTCATCATTTGAATTATAGCCGAAATGACTGTCAGAGTCAGTATGTGGTGTTACATTTCTGTAAATGTATTGTGTTACATTTCTGTAACACAATACTTAAATGTAATTAAGTATTGGTATGTGGTGTTACAGAAATGAATCAACACCTTCTGACCAATCAGATTCAAGAATTCAACAATGCTATACATTTCCCTCTGAAAGTACTGGAATGGCAAGACCAATTCTTTTGTTTTTGCTATACACTGAAGACATTTGGGTTTGAGATCAAAAGATGAATATGAGACGATAGATCAGAATTTC